CCCTGCATTTACTTCTTTATTTTCAGCGAATAAAAAGAACGTTAGACATTCATGCCCAAAGTATAATAATTGTCAATATTTAGCTCTTTTACAAAACCTGAGGAATCACATGTTGACACATCACTGCATATTCTCCCAACACGTTTATCGCTACAAAGCTAAAACCAATGAGAACGTGAAAAAGCCCAAGACCAAGGGCAAGGGAAATGCTAATAAACACAAGCCTGCAAAGGCTAAGGGCAATGAAAAGAGAGTGGTATCACCTACTAACAAATGAGGACCCATTAAGAAATGGGTACCTAAAACCCTTTAATTTGTCTTGCAGGACCAACATGTGCAACCATGGTACATGGATTCAGGTTGCTCCAGGCACATGATTGGTGACAAAAGTCAGCTGACCTCCTTCATCGAAAAATCTAGAGGTTCTGTCACTTTTGGAGACAACAGCAAGGGAACCATTAAGGGATACGGAACTCTCATCAAAGGCAACATCTCCATCAACAAAGTGGCTTATGTTGAAGGTTTGAAGCACAACTTACTAAGCATAAGCCAGTTCTGCGACAAGGGTCTTGAAGTCAGATTCCGCAAAGGTTTCTGTATCATAGAAACAAAGCCCGGTCAAACCATCATCAAGGCCAAGCGAGAAGGGAATCTCTATCTTCTGGATTTTCAATCCTCTGAGGAACAAGACACCCTTTGCCTTGTATCCCATAAGAACGACAAAAATTGGCTATGGCACCAAAAATTCTCACACCTGAATTTTGGTGTTTTAAGAAAGCTAGGCAAACAGAAGCTAGTCAATGGGATTCCTGATCTCAACTTTGAAAAAGATCATCTATGTTCAGCCTGTGAGATGGGAAAGCTAAAATGGGCCTCTCACCGAACAAAGTCAGAAACCTCCTGCACCAAGCCCTTGGATATGATCCACATTGATCTCTGTGGGCCCATATCTACACAAAGCCTCTCAGGAAAGAAGTACATACTTGTACTTGTTGATGAATACTCCAGATACACCAGGGTTGAGTTTGTGAAGAAGAAATCAGATGTTCCTGACCTACTCATTGGGGTGATGAAAAGGCTCCAAGTCCTTCTACAACGAAAACTCATTAAAGTTAGAAGCGACAATGGAACTGAATTAAAAAAATGCCAAAATCGATGAATACCTCATCAATGAAGGCATCACACAAAAATTTTCAGCAGCCAGAACCCCACAAAAGAATGGAGTGGTAGAACAAGGAACAGAACCCTTGTGGAACCAGCAAGGACCATGCTTGCTTCATCGGAGTTGCCCATCACCTTCTGGGCTAAAGCAATTTCTACTGCATGCTTCACCCAAAATCGATCCATCATCAACAAGAGGCACCAGAAGACACCCTGTGAGCTTATCAATCAGAGAAGACCAAATGTTAAGTATTTTCATGTCTTTGGGTGCAAATGCTTTGTACTCAATGATAGGGAATACCTTGGCAAGTTCGACAAGAAAGCCGATGAAGGGATCTTTCTGGGATACTCTCAGACCCCAAAAGCCTACAGAGTCTACATCAAAAGGACAAAAATAGTCATAGAAAGCATCAATGTGTCCTTTGATGACTCTACATCCATGACTTCTGGACACAACAGTTCAGGACTCGAACTTCAAGGAAGAGCATCTGATTCATCACTTGGCAAACCCAATGAATCAGAGTTAGCTCAATTATTTGAAGACATCTTCGAAGAAGAAGTAATCTCTGGACTTGCACCTACTGCAAAATCCACTTCCAGAATCGATGAAGAAAATGAAGTCTCCAATGCTAAAGGTACAACTCTTACTGAAACTCATGTTACTTCACCTTCTACTTCTTTTGTGTCTTCAGATCAAGAACAAGAACCATAGTCTAACTCTAGAGATGATCTCTTCGAGGGGGAGCAAGCAGTTCCATCAGTCAATGAAGAACTGCATCTTGTTGCTCCAGAACCCCAGTCGAGCACCAAGTGAACGAAAGACCACCCACATCACCA